AAAGATTTTTATTCTTATTTCTTACATACTTTGCCTATAATATGGTGACAACGCACGGCATGCTGACATAAAAAATTCCCTTGCATCTTCCCGAATCAATCCTCCAATGATTTCAACATTTGAAGTAATTCCAATCATTTCATTATCTTAATTAAATTTATTTAATGCCTTATGAGAATAACTTGGATGTCTAAATCTGACTCTAGTGAATCAACGTCGATTGTCACGGTTTAGGATGGGCACAACAGGACCCAATCTGGGACGTGCTTAGGCCTAACCATTTTATTTTCTTAAATTAGGTTATTTAATACCTATGAGAATAAGCTTGACATGTAAATCTGACTAGTAACCCAATGTCGATTGACACGATTTGGGACGGCACAACATGGCCTAGTCTTGGACGTGCCTAGGCTAGACCCATAGCAGTAAAGACAGAATCCCAAAAAATAAAGCAATAGTCAAAAGTTTAATTGTATATGTCGCTTCCTCAATTCCATTGAACCTCCTTCAAAAAAAACGAACTTATTTTTTTTTCTCCCATGTTCCAACGATTAACTTAACCACTAAATCAGAGCAAAACTATATATAAAAGCTAAGAACGATACTAATGTGAAGTGACATTAATTGAAAATATTAATGAAATGAGTCTCATATTTTTACAATTAATTGACCTTATCATTTCATCACACATCATATGTCTATCACATGCGGAAAATCCCTACTTTGTATATATAGTCCCATTCTTATTAAAATGATAAACATTGGACTTTACATTTTGAGTTCAAGACTTCAACAAGATTTTTTCTAATTAAAATAGAATTTATGGCTCGATTCATTTAATGCCCGATATACGAGGTTCAATTTACACCTTTAGAAGAACAAGATGATTGAATTAAGTTAGTTGTACTCCCATCGCGTACAATTAGCCCGACCTTGTTTGATGTGGCAAAATTTAAATGTTGTTGAACTCAATGGCAAAAATGTATTCAACATGATGAAACGTAAATAAAACTGTCAACTATGATATAAGTGTAGTAATATTGCTGGATGATTTACACCCTCGGAGTAAACAAATGTTTTGAATGAGGTTGTTTGACCAAGCTTCTAATAATAAATTTAACAGCTTTTAATCAAAGTTAATAAAATATGTGATTTAAAAATTGATAAAACTTATGAGTCTCGTGAAATGCGTGATTAAAATTAATTGATTTTAATCTCAACTTTTTAACCTTTTCCAAACAAGCACTAAATGTCCTTGTTACCTATTCAAGCAAATTTCATTCATCGAGACTTTGATGAAACGGTTTAAAATAACAATACTTGTACATAATAAGTTAAATAATGATTTAAATACAGATAATGTATAAAAAAAAAGTTTGATTTTTATTTTTGTTGCAGAAATTGACTCAATCATATCTCAGAATTTCATGTGTATATAAACCATTATCTATAAGTAGCACAATCGAAAAGTTTACCATCATTAATTATCTTAAATTGAAGTGTATGTAAGGGTCCGTTTGTAGGATTTTAAAAAGTCAAAAGTAGTTTATAAATTTGTTTGGATAATTTTTGAGAACATATTGCTTTATTAGAAGAGTTTTTAAGGAAAGCTTACTTGATATAACTTTTTCAAAAAGATCTTTACAAAAAAGTAGAAACACACATAGAAATTATTCCAAACCGACCCTAAGAAAAGCAATGGAGTGTGGCGGGGAATTGGAATACAAAAGAAGAGTGCATGTAACAAATAAGTATGATGTTTGCAGTCTTTTATTTCATGCAGTCATGCAGATGCCAACATTTTTTATGGGGCATTGAGTCGTATGTAAAATCCAGGAAAGGGACCTACGAATAAAAGAGCACAGGAAAGGCCAATGCAAAAGCGGTTTTTGCTCATAATATTGTGGGCTGCTTTACCCCTTGTTTTTTTTTTAACCTTTTCTTCGTCGAGACAAAATGTTAATCATGTCTGCAATTTCGAGGTCCTTTTTATGGTCTGTAGCTCATTTCTCACAAGGAAAATGCTATGAAGCAGTGATAATTTCAAGATTTTACATCCATTATTGTTCCATGTCCACTCCGTGACACTGGTAGCAAATCTATAGTTAAGAGATTTAAGATTTTAATAGTTTCAACATGATTTGACTGTATTCAAGATTCAATTATAGTGTGCACATGAGATATATCGTTAGNACTGGTAGCAAAACTATAGTTAAGATCTTTGACTGTATTCAAGATTCAATTATAGTGTGCACATAAGATTTATCGTGAGATATGCAATTGATTGTGACCAAATATAAATAAAATCTAAACGAGAATTAGCGTAGCTATTTAAACAATGAACATGCATGAGCATGATTACTAGCCATTTTTTTCAGTGTGGAATATGACAGACTTTTAAAGTTGCATTTGGATTATTCGTTATTTTCAAAGTCATCAAGTCTTTAATCTAATAATACTCTCCTGACAGCCTCGATCCTGTTCGCATTTCACGGGGAATGAAGGGAAAAAATTTAATAATGTTTTTTAATTAGAAATTTCTGTTTGTAAAAACATGGCCTTGCTTAATTTTGTATTTAAAAAAAAAAAATGCAGTGGGATTTCTTTGCAAAAAATATATAAAAAAAATGCAGGGGGAATTTTTCCAATAATTTTCTGTTAGAATCTTGGCAACACATGGAGATTTGACAGATAGAATAGTGTCAGCAATGAGCATAGCCACTTGTTTTCAGGTGATATATATTCCCTTATCATGCTTTATTTCAAATGGAAAATATGAAAGAAAAATATGAACAAACATACAGAAGACAGTACCAAAAATAGTAGCTGCTAAGGCTGGTTCTACCATGAATCATGAAAACCAATTTAGGCCTTGTCTGTCTCCCATTTAGTGGTGGTAAATGTGTCGAGCGGCTAATCGGCTCGTGGATGGTTTGGACTCGTCATTTGACTAGTCTGAGCCCGAGCCGTAGGTTCGCCGGGCAAGCCGAGTCGTCGAGCTCGCGAACTCCTAAGTTCACGATGGTTCCTAAAAAATCTTAAGAAAGAGCACATGGACTCAGCTCGTGAGCTCATGGGCCGAGCCGAGCTCGAGCTTGGCTAGTGCTTAAACGAGCTTGTGACGAGCCGAGCTCGTAGGTAGATGTCAGCCCGGTCCATTGCCACTACTATTTCTATTATTTTAAAACATTGTTTGCTGTAGTAAGATTTTTCACCACACATTCACCCAATAAAAATATTCTACGCACAAATCAATAAAGTTACTTTAAATTTCTATCACATATTTTTCAAAAAATATTATTCATTACTCCATTTTTTCTACAATAATGGAAAACAAACACACACTTAGTTAAGAGGCAATAGGACATGCTATGATTAAATGTACCCAATGGACTTGTTCGGTGCAAAAAGATTTATGTGTTTTCATGTGAAATTAATTACCACGTTACAGTCGAGAAACATTATTCTCCACCTAGTCTTCCTAGAATTCCACAAAATATTAAGCACAAAACCCACTTCAGTTTCATTCCATTCTCCAAGATTACTGAGGCAAATCCATGAGATTTTAGAATTTAGCAAGCAATAATTACAAAAGAAAGAACAAAAAGGGGTACAAACTGCTCAATTAGCACGGTTTTTCATGCTCAGATTCAAGAGAAATGAATACTAAAAGGTAAACAGAATCAATTAACTCACCTAGCCAGAGTTCATGGGTCCCAATGCAGCAAAAGGTCTGTAATTAAGTTCAGAAAATGCAGATTTACAAAATTTATTAATCAAAGAGCCTGACAGAGGTCCATGTTGCTAAACCTACACTTAACGTTCCCGACAGATTATTGGGTCAAACCTTGCAGATTTACTTATGTATGTATCCTATCTGATTAAAGTTTGCGATGAAAAAAACCTTCTAAAATCCGTAGGAGATGACTCTGAGAAAAAGCAGATTCCATCCTAATCTAATGCCCTCTAGGTGCTATATTTACACAAGACAAATTATCAACCTTATCGTTACGAGTACTCTAATTGCACTATACATTGCTAATTTGTGGGATTTTAGACTTGTAAC